TGCCAACCTGTACATGGAGGAGGTAGAAAAGAGAGCCTTGACGTCCTTTTCAGGGACACCACCAAGTCATTGGTTCAGGTATGTTGACGGCACCTGGGTTAAAATTAAATCTCAGGAAGTCCAACATTTTACTGACCACATCAACACTGTGGATAAATACATCAAGTTCACACGAGAAGATGTAAAAAATGGCAGGTTGGCTTTCTTGGACTGTGAGGTCTCAGTCTCTGATAGAGGACATTTGCAAACTGAGGTGTACCGCAAACCCACCCACACAGACCAGTATTTGCAGTTTGACTCCCATCACCCTTTGGAGCACAAGTTAGGAGTCATCAGGACTCTGTATCACAGAGCAGACAGCGTCCCCACTAGCTCAGGAGCCAGGCAGAAGGCGAAATCCCACACAAGACAGGCTCTAGAGCGATGTGGATATCCTAACTGGGCCTTCCTGAAAGCAGAGAAGAAACCCAAACAGGACTCCAGTCAGCCAACAGGTGAAAAGGAGGAACCCAGACCCAGACCAGTGGTCATTCCATATGTTGAGGGAGTATCAGAGAAATTGAGACGTTCATTTTCTAAACATAACGTCCCAGTGGCTTTTAAACCCCAAAATACATTACGGCAAAGACTGGTTCATCCCAAAGATCCAGTCCTCTGGCACAAACTGAGTAATATTGTGTATGCTGTTCAGTGTCAGGAGGGCTGTGATCAGTCTTACATCGGGGAAACAAAACAGCCACTGGCCAAAATGATGGCCCAGCACAGAAGATCAACATCATCAGGCCAGGACTCTGCGGTCTACACTCATCTCCAGGCCAGCGGTCACTCTTTCAGGGATGAAGATATTCACATCCTGGACAGAGAGGAACGATGGTTTGAGAGAGAATACAGCACCTCAGACTGAGGAAGTCTCTCGGATGAGAGACGAAACGTTTCTACATTTTTTGTTGTTTTGCTTTGTTTTGGTTTTTTGAATGTCCAGAGGACCAGATTTAACTTTTTTAGATTTTTCTACCTGGATTATTGAGCATGCATCAGGATACCAGAGTGATCTGTGCTGAGTCTGTGTGCATCACACTGTGTTGGTCATGTTGCGGTTGTTGTTGTTATCCATTATTGTTTTTGTTGGTTTCTACTTTTTGGTGTCCTGTTATATAATCTGTTGCTGTGTGCTTGTTCTGTTTGTCCCTGTACAGCACTTTGGTGTGCTTTGTCACTGTTTAAAGTGCTATATAAATAAATTGGTATGGTATGGTAATTATAAAAACCTGTACAGTAGAGTAAGAACAGACCTGCAGCCCACAGCTGGCTCCCTCCACAATAGCCATACAGAATGCTTCAGTCAGCGACGTGTTGAGGAAGATGTGACCCTGAACCAGGACACCACGAACGTCTTTATGCTCCAGAGCCCCGAGCAGACGGACCCTGCAAAAATACAGATAACAGATTTAAGTCACATCTACAACAGTCTGTTGACACAGATAAAATAGGAAATACAGGAAACAGTGTTGGTAATATTCAGCTGATAACATACCACACTACTGATAATGGCAGAACAGATTTGTTTCCAATTTAAAAGCTTTTTCCAATTCTTTTAGTCTCATTATAACATGTTCTGAAGGAACAATGTGTTCTCTCCTTCCTAGTTAATCTAAAAATATATATTCATTCAGCCATACCTGTCATGGAGTTGGTATTTCTCTCTCACTTCCTCCAGCACGAGTCTCTTTGGCCCCTCTCCACCGATTAGGAAATGGAGATCAGGATGCTTGAGGCAAAGCTCTGGGATTATTCCACCAAGAAGATCAATTCCTGAACAGGGGGAGAAAAAATGGACTCTTATTATTACGGTTAAAGTAAAGCAACTCCCTGCTTTAAAACATGCATTGCTAAGTACAAATATATTTTTTAGATATAACGGTTGTGAGAATTTTTTGAATACCTTGGTTCCCTGTCCTGCTCTAAAATAACAGTCCTGTAAGAAATTGAGCTTTCTGAAACGGACAACGCTACATCAAAATATTATTTAAGCATATACAGGGAGATTAAACATAGTTGCTTTATTCACGCCACTAACACAACCATACTGCTAACAGCACCAAGGTGCCAACGGGACAATGATGCTAAGAGAAACCTCACTGCTAACAGTATCATGCTGCTAACTGGACCATGTTGCTAAGATAAGCTCACTGTCATCAGAACCACTCTGCCAATTGGACCATGCTGCTGTAGATTTATTTATTTTTCACTTTTGGCGCCTTGTTTCTGTATTTCTGTTGAATGCTTTGAATAAATCCTAGTTTATTTTAGTTTAGTTTATGTTAGTGCTCACATTAAACATGTAAATTATAGCCGAACAGAACCTATGAGAATCGTGCTGCTGTTGTTCGGTGTATTGTTTTGCACTATTACTGATTAGTGTATGTATATTTTAGATCTTTTAGTGTACCGTTGGGTGTTTGTTGAGGGTATATCTTAGTTAATATTTTAGATCCTTATTTACTTTTTCTTTTTACACTTTACATTTTTGCTATTTTTGGATGTAACTGGGACCCTGTGTACACAATTTTGTTCCACCTCATGTACCACATGTGATGTGAATGACAATTAAAACCTTGAATGCTTTTCATATTTTTATTGGAATCTCCAGATGGAGCTAGGAGCTTGGGACTTTTCATGCTGTTTTTATATTCTTGTCATTCTTAATAATTTTATTCAGTTCTTTTTATTGAAGTTCTTTGAAAACTGTTTCAAATGTGGCTGGTTTCTTTTACTTGTCTAATTGTTTCATTGCTAACAAAAGAAACAAACAAAGAATAGTAATGCATTTGCAATTTAGACCTTTTTTTTGGGGGGAGAATTTATCAGACAGAAATTAAACATCTTTGGTCATTTTGACAAATGAGCAACTTGCAATTTTTTAAACAACACTTTATTCTGTAAGGAGTCTGTGAACAAAACCATGGCTGAAAGTGTGCTTTTATTTTTGTCAATATTTTTTATTGTAATTTAATGTTACACAATTTACAGGTCGACGTATAAACAATTTTAGGCCTTTGTTAGAAAAATATTTGGGCTGGTCTCTGGTATCTGTTGCTTTGTCAGAAACCTTTGTCTAAAGGCTTTGGTACAAAAATGGATCCGTTTCTAGTTTCCTAAAGTGATACTACAAAATACACCTTACAGGACAAACACCACAACATTCAACACAATGGAACCTACGCACCTTTGCGATAGACGAGACGGCTGATCACAACAATTGTAATCCTGTCGTCTTGGCGCTGGGAGGGGTCAGGGGTAAAATCTGTGGGATCAACAGCATTGGGAATAACAGACACAATCTCTGGGTTGAGGGCAGCACGGAGCACCGTGTTCTCCTTACTGGTATAGGAGACGCACACAATGTGGTTAGTGTCGCACATAGAAATAGTCAGAAGCTTGTTGGTCAGCACAGAGCTGACATCAGCAAAACCGAAGAGTGAGTGGTCAGTGAACACCTAAAAATAAAAACAAGTCTCTTAAAATTTATATATCATACACAACTTTATAAAAGAAATATAAATTTGAGTCACATACTGTGTTCAGGCCCATTGTCTTGGCGTGGAATAGTGCATCATGGGCCATGGCAGAGAATGAGCTGTGTGCATGAACCACAGTGATTTGTTCCCTGACGAACACACAGCGCAGCAGTGGGAGGCTGTGGAAGCAGGTAGTGGCTGTGGACTGGTTGTACATCACCTGCAGCGGCAGGTAGTACACCTTCAGTCCATTGGTCAGGTATCTGATACCCTTCCTGTTGCCATAGGAGTGAGTGGCAATTACCACCTTATGTCCTTTTTCAATCAGACACTGAGAAAGCTGATAAATGTGACTTTCTACTCCCCCCATATTTGGATAGAAAAAGTCAGACACCATGCAGATGTTGTGCTTCCTGTTGTTGACCCTGGCAACATCTGCAGAGTCTCTCTGAGATGACGGAGCTTTCACAGCTCCCACCTTCCTTCGTTGGCCCATTGTTCAGTCCTTCTGTGGCCGTGTGCCTTTATCGAAGCTGAAACAAATAATAACTCATCAATTAATACAACATAAATGACCTGATGTAAATAATTTTGTAAATGATTTATTTTACAAAAGAACACACACAAAATTGTTAGTATATTTAAATTACTGGTATTTATAAAAACTTGGTGAAGCAATGAGTCAACTAAAAGGTTGGAGTCTATATTTAATGTTAATTCAAACAAACAAAAAAACTTTTGTTAAAATGGAAAATGCTCATGGCAGCACGGTGGCGCAACTGGTAGAGCTGCTGCCTCTCAGCGAGCAGGTCCTTGGTTCAAACCCCGGTCCAGGGGCCTTTCTGGGTGGAGTTTGCATGTTCTCTCCGTGCATGCATGGGTTTTCTCCGGGTGCTCCGGTTTCCTCCCACAGACCAAAAACATGCATGTTAGGCTGATTGGTAACTCTAAATTGTCCCTAGGTGTGACTGAGAGAGTGAATGGTTGTTTGTCTCGTTTGTCTCTATGTGGCCCTGTGATGGACTTGCGACCTGTCCAGGGTGTACCCCGCCCCTCGCACAGTGATTGCTGGACATGGGCACCAGCGACCCCCGTGACTCAAAATGGAATAAGCGGGTAAAGATAATGGATGGATGGATGGATGGAAAATGCTCATCCTATGTCCATCCATCCATTTTCTTCCGCTTATCCGGGGTCGGGTCGCGGGGGTAGCAGCTTAAGTAGGGAGGCCCAGACTTCTCTCTCCCCAGCCACTTGGTCCAGTTCCTACGGGGGAATCCCGAGGCGTTCCCAGGCCAGCCGAGAAACATAGTCCCTCCAGCGTGTCATAGGTCTTCCTCTGGGCCTCCGCCCGGTGGGACGTGTCCGGAACACCTCACCAGGGAGGCGTCCAGGAAGCATCCTAAACAGATACCCGAGCCATCTCAACTGGCTCCTCTTGACGTGGAGAAGAAGCAGCTATACTCTGAGTCTCTCCCGGATGATCGAGCTTCTCACCCTATCTCTAAGGGAGAGCCAAGACACCCTGCGGAGAAAACTCATTTCGGCCACTTGTATCCAAGATCTCATTCTTTCGGTCACAACCCAAAGCTCATGACCATAGATGAGGGTGAGAACGTAGATCGATCGGTAAATTGAGAGCTTCGCCTTTTGACTCAGCTCTCTCTTCACCACGACAGACCTGTACAGTGCCTGCTTCACTGCAGACGCTGCACCTACCCTCCTATCGATCTCACGTTCCATTTTTCCCTCATTCATGAACAAGACCCCAAAATACTTGAACTCCTCCACTTGTGGCAGGACCCCCTCCCTGACCCGGAGGGGGCACTCTACCCTTTTCCGGCTCAAGACCATGGCCTCGGATTTGGAAGAACTGGTCCTCATCCTGGCCGCGTCGCACTCGGCTGCGAACCGCTCCAGCAAAAGCTGTAGATTACGATCTGATGAAGCCAATAGGACCACATCATCTGCAAAAAGCAGAGAGGCAATCCTAAGGCCACCAAAACGGATCCCCTCAACACCTTGGCAGCGCCTAGAAATTCTGTCCATAAAATGAACAGAATCGTGACAAAGGGCAACCTTGGCGGAGTCCAACTCTCACTGGGAACAAGTCCGACTTACTGCCGGCAATGCGGACCAGGCTCTGACACCGGTCATACAGGGACCTAACAGCCCATATCAAAGGGCCCAGTACCCCATACTCCCAGACTACCCCCCACAGGGTTCCCCAAGGGACGCGGTCGAACGCCTTCTCCAAGTCCACAAAGCACATGTAGACCGGTTGGGCAAACTCCCACGCACCCTCTAGGACCCTGCTGAGAGTGTAGAGCTGGTCCAGTGTTCCACGACCAGGACGAAAACCGCACTGCTCCTCCTGAATCCGAAGTTTGACTATCCGACAGACCCTCCTCTCCAGAACCCTCGAATAGACCTTACCAGGGAGGCTTAAGAGTGTGATCCCCCTGTAGTTGGAACACACTCTACGGTCCCCCTTTTTGAATAGGGGGACCACCACCCCGGTCTGCCAATCCAAGGGAACTTCACTCGATGTCCACGCAATATTGCAGAGTCACGTAAGCCAACAAAACCCTACAACATCCACAGCCTTAAGGAACTTGGGGCAAATCTCATCCATCCCCAGGGCCCTGACACCGAGGAACTTTTTAACCACCTCGGTGACCTTAGCACCAGAGATTGGAGGGCCCGACCCAGAGTCCCCAGGCTCCGCTTCCTCAGTGGAAGACGCGCCGGTGGGATTGAGGAGGTCTTTAAAAGTATTCTTCCCACCGACCCACGACATCCCGAGTTGAGGTCAGCAGCGCACCACTCCCACTATAAACAGTGTTGGTGGCGTACCGCTTTCCCCCCCTGAAACGCTGGATGGTGGACCAGAATTGCCTCGAAGCCATGCGGAAGTCATTCTCCATGGCCTCTCCAAACTCCTCCCATGCCCGAGTTTTTGCCTCACAACCTCCTGAGCTGCATGTCACTTGGACTGCCGGTACCCATCGGCTGCTTCCGGGGTCCCACAGACCAAAAAGGCCCGATAGGACTCCTTCTTCAGCCTGACAGCATCCCTCACCGATGGTGTCCACCACCGGGTTTGAGGGTTGCCGCCGCGACAGGCACCGACAACCTTGCGGCCACAGCTTCGGTAAGCCGCCTCGACAATAGAGGCACGGAACATGGCACACTCGGACTCGATGTCCCCCACCTCCCCCCGGAACATGTTCGAAGTTCTCCCGGAGGTGGGAGTTAAAACTCCGTCTCACAGGAGACTCTGCCAGACGTTCCCAGCAAACCCTCACAACACGTTTGGGTCTGCCAGGTCTGACCGGCATCCTCCCCCACTATCAGAGCCAACTCACCACCAGGTAGTGATCAGTGGACAGCTCTGCCCCTCTCTTCACCCGAGTGTTCAAGACATGTGACCGCAGATCAGATGAGACGATGACAAAGTCAATCATCGAACTGCGGTCTAGGGTGTCCTGGTGCCAAGAGCACATATGGACACCCTTATGCTTGAACAAGGTGTTCGTTATTGACAATCCATGATGAGCACAGATGTCCACCAACAGAACACCACACGGGTTCAGATCAGGGAGGCCGTTCCTTCCAACCACACCCCTCCAGGTCTCACTGTCATTGCCCACGTGAGCATTGAAGTCCCCCAGCAGAACAAAGGAGTCCCCAGGAGGTGCATTTTCCAGTACCCCCTACAAGGACTCCAAAAAGGGCGGATAATCTGAACTGCCGTTTGGTGCATAAGCACAAATGACAGTCAGAACCCATCCCCCCATACATAGGCGGAGGGAGGCCACCCTCTCATTCACTGGGGTGAACTCCAACACACAGGCACCAACATGGGGGGCAATAAGTATGCCCACTCCTGCTCAGCGCCTCTCACCAGGGGCAACTCCAGAGTGGAAGAGTGTCCAACCCCTCTCAAGGAAACTGGTTCCAGAGCCAGAGCCATGCGTAGAGGTGAGTCCGACTATTTCTAGGCAGAACCTCTCAACCTCACACACCAGACACACCTCACTATGTCCTTGAAACTAATTTCTCTTCACTATTCAACAAGCAGCCCAATTTTTTTTTAAAAACATTCACCCTCTGTCATCAACATAAACCTAATATAGTTCTTGAATTATCCCATAGAACTCGTTAGACGCATCGTAATATTTTTAAAATGGTAAATCAAAATTGTTCAGGATGCAGAGGACAGAGTGAGATGGAGGAGGATGACTCACTGTGGCAACGACTGAAGAAGGAGAAGCCAAAATAAGTAGAAGATTTTTGTAAGAAAGAGTTGAAGATGTTAATCAACAATGTCAGTCATCTACTCTGCACCATTAGATTAAAATGTGTTAATGATCTCCTTCTTGTGTGGAAACTGACAGTCCAGTTAAAGTAAACGTAACCTAATCTCTTTGTCCAACAAAGTTGTCAGGTCCTCAGGATAGTTTCTTTGTGCTGAAACGTTTCGTCTCTCATCCAAGAGACTTCATCAGTCATCATTAGTCCGAGGAGCGACAACATATGCAGTCTTTTAAGTAGAACACTCACATATTGGGCCAACCAGTTTGAAGTTGAAAATCTGGTTTCTGGATCTAATCTAAAGGACTAATCTCTTTTATATTTTGCACAGTTATGAAGGATAAAGTACACACATTCTTGATAAAATACCAAGTTTATATGATGTAAAACATTAGCCCTTGATTAATTATTTTAAAACTACAAGTAGTCCCTCGCTACTTCGCAGTTCAATATTTAGCGGTTTTTCAAGGTAAGATTGGACAAGACGGATGAGCCATGGATTGTTTATTTAAAATAAATTATTTTAAATTATTTAGCACCTGCTAAATCATTAGGTGAAGGGAACATGTTCCCAGGAACATGTTACATTTTGCAGGGCAAAAAATAAAATAAAAGATGCCATCAGCTGGTTGCATAAGTGTGACATCCTTAAAGTAATAAAATATTGAATGCATCTAAATTAATTACAGTCTTCAGTCCTTTTAGGAATGAATCTATCAGCATGCCATATTTTGACTTGGTAATTATTACCCCCCTGCCACACCCCCACTACTACTACACTTTGGCTACAACATTCCAAAACGTTGATTTTCTTCTAGTGAAGACATTCTGTTGTTGATTTGGGGTTAAGGACCTGAACGTTTTTGTCCAAAAACAGGTATTTGCAATTGTTTATAATTCCACCCACCTTGAGTAAAACCCCAGTTCCACATGATGAAAAGCAACCCCACACCATGATACTGCCACCACTATGTTTCATTGTGGAGATGTTCTTTTGATGATCCACTCTCGTTTCTGCACCAAATGGATCTTTTGGAAATGTGACTTGAAAGTTTTATTTCAGGTTCATCAGACCACAATACACTTATGTTTTTGGCAGGTTTGATATTGATATTCATTGTACTTAGCTAGACCTGGTTTTTGTTTGTTTGTATTTGTAAGATAAAGGTTCCCTAAACTCAACAGGTTGCCACATGTACACAACTACATTATTGTATTATTTTTATTTTCAATATTTTTATCCTGAGATTGTGTGCTTGAACCCAGGTTGTGTCAGGAAGGGCATCTGGAGTAAAACAATTGTCAAATCTTTCATACAAATTTGCTCACTGTGGTGTCCCCCGAAGAGGGAGAAGCTGAAAAAAATACCGGTATTTACCCTGCAATAGATTTATTTTTATATTAGGCTGTAAAGGACATAAGTCACAATAAGTATGAAAAATGTTTAGAAATGACTGATACTGGTTTAATTTTTTTTTATGCAAACAAGTGGCCTTTTATAAGGGGTGAGCAGAACATTAGATTCGCTGTAACTTATCTAGACAGTCACAAATTGATGGCTTTGTTGGGGTCAAACAGCTGAGCAGTGATTGTCCCTTCCTACAACAAGGTTTATTTATAGGTCAATTGTGACATTATCTAAATTATAATAATGCACTGGACATGAAATACTCACGTTTCTATGTCTGCTGTATATAGACGAAGCAAACACTTAATTTAAAGCTGTGAATTTTCGTTTAAAAGAGAGAAAAAAAGGTTTTCATGACAGATTACAGTAAAATGTTACACAGTTTGTAAACAGTACATCTGTATATCTAACAAACATTGAACTTATGCACTTTTCATACTTGTCACATCTTCACAAACCGCTCTCAAAGATTGTTCGACAGGTTTTTTAACTAAAAATTTAACTGCAGAGTGATTCTGGACTTGATCAGCGTTTTTTATTAGCACAAACATAAAAACGATTCGGAACTGATTTACAAATAAACTTCAGACTAATACAATCGGGATGTCAGGTTTAACCACTGGACAAGAATTTAATTCTATGAGTTTTTATATTTTAAATATTCTCTTACCGTGAACATAAATGTGAGTTTTGTTCCAGCTTGTAAAAACGAACACCGCGTTTTTGCTGTCGATTCATTTCCACTCGCTAGCTTCGTGCGCTAGCCAGTTAGCAATAGCTGCCGGTATCACTTCCTGTTGATTGACTACGTCAGACGCAAAGAGGACGTACGAGAGCGAGCTCATTCAAGGATGGAGAAATGACGTAACGTTGGGTTGATCATTAATCTGCGCTTCTATTTTTTATTTTATTTTTTCCAGATCTGGTATTAACACGTTTTAGCTCAAACTACCATAAATTTAACCACAAAACTATTTGTTTTTATTAGAAGATGGTAGGTTATCTTAAATATTATCTGGTTAAAAATTATATCAGAAAATAGCCTATAAAGGTATAATGATTAGCTTAATAACTAGAAAAAAAAAAAACTATGAATAGAAACAACTGCGTATACAAAAATAAATCAAACACAAGGTCTATGACAAAATATTAAATTAAACAAACCAAGACAGTATTTTTTTCTTTTCCCCAAGCTGTAAAAGTCAATGCACTTTATTTATTAGCGATAAACAGGAGCAGCATTGTCACTATCTAAAAAGTTTACTTCAGGTCCTCTGCATGGATTCTTCTTAAAATACAAAAATGTTTCAACAAAGACAAACCAATCCAAAGGACCCAACTCAACTATGTTAGATTTATCTGGATTATTGAGTATGCAAAGATTAGGACACAATTCACACTGCCACAATGTTTCTTTCACATATAATCTGTTCACATTAGTAGGCAGAAAGACTCGAGAGCACGTAAGAATTGAATAGAAAGGTGTAGGAGTAAAACTGTTTTGTGACAAAACTTTCCACAAAAGGAACACAAAAGCCAACATCTCTGACAATCTTTAATTATAAGTACAGCGTCATGCTGAAATATCCACCCCTTTATCTAATGTTTTAATTTTGTTGACCTAGAACCTGGATTTTAATTGGATTTTAACTTTAATGAAAACAACAATTCTCAGATTAACTAATGAAGTTACATGAAGGATAAAAAGTTGTTTTAGAATGTTTAAAAACATATACCTTTTACTTTTGCAACCATTACTTACTATTACAGCAAACATTGTCATGGCATTTGCAACTTGTGGGTTTTTTTCAAGGAAACTCTTGCACCATCACAGCTGATAATGGATCAGTTTATATCTTCTGCTATTTCTGACTTCATGACAAAATATAAGCACATCAAAACAAGTGTATACCATGGGGCAAGCAGACGTGTGTACTGCTTTAATAAAGCACTAAATGTTTCAGATCAATCAGCTATTGGATGATCTTGAAAGTTTCTGAAATGCTACACATCTACTGGGTTTCACCTCATGCCATGATGATGAATCCCCTTTCCTGTGTCTCAGAGAAGACCAATGGGGACATAACTGGAGCTCCTGCCAAAGGACAATGGACAGTGTCACCATGTTAGATAAAACGTTGCTCTACAGCAAGTCAAAAGTGCACTTTATTTTAACAAAAAGATAGGAGCCAAATCCACAAAAGTCATTGCTAGAGCTATGTCAGAATGCAGAAGACTTCTCATGTGAGGAAAGGAAAGACCAAGTACAGCACATATTTGTCAGCAGTAGACTGGACTGAGTCCATTTGTCCTCAGTGATGGGAAAAGATGGAATGCAACATGGCTTTTGCTTTGCTCCAATGAAACACCAAGGCCTTATAGCAGAAAGTATAATCCCTCATCCCAAAACAGACACCAAACACAAAGACAAGGACCAACCTGGTGAATGAAAATAAAATACTATGTGATGAAAAAAAAGTCTGTAAAAAATAAAGGTTAATAAAAGTGTAAACAAAGGCTTGTGATTATGAGTTAATTTTAGTTGTACTTTTATGAATGCTTTGTGTTTTATAAAGACTATTTGTAATTAATTGCACGTCTGCCAAACTGAATGGTTACAGATAAATTGCAGACACTTTATTTTGCATGACAGTAATACTAATCTTTCTGAGAAAAAACTACAAGTGAATGAGGTTGTTTGGGTAACAGAGGAGATATGTTAGGTTTATTACAATTAATACATTTCTTTTCTACTCTGTTATTATGGTACCACTTTACAATATTCTCCCCTTATAGATCGATGGCTAATAAATAGTTTATAGATATGGGAGTGGTGACGCAGAGGTTAGAGAAGGTGGGCCTGTGATCGGAAAATCGCCGGTTCAAGCCCCGGTACTGACAACATCAAAAATGTGGGTGGGGTAGGTGAAGCACCCACACCTGCCCCCACCCTCATTCGTCCCACTCTGGGCCCTTGAGCAAGGCCCTTAACCCCCACCATCTGCTCCTCCAGGTGTCATAGATAGCAGCTCTCTGCTCCACACAGAGGGCTGTGGTAGCTCAGTGGTTTGTGGTTGCGTCAGGAAGGACATCCGGTGTAAAAATAATTACCAAGTCGTTGTGCAACTTAGCTCGCTGTGGCGACCCCTAATGCAGGGAGCAGCCAAAAGAAGAAGAAGAAGAAGAAGAAGAAAATATATCTTTTAATTCCTTTTTAAATCCTTTATGAATAATTAAATAACTGCTTATTATTCATTAATTAAGAGTGATAGAGAGACAAAACTGACCAGTTTCTTGTCAAATAGTGAGACAAATATCTTCCATTTAGAGTTGTTATATTAAACATTTCAGACTAAGTTACTACCTTGTGAGAACAATAAGTATCCATCCATCCATTATCTTTACCCGCTTATTCCATTTTGGGTCACGGGGGTCGCTGGTGCCCATGTCCAGCAATCACCGTGCGAGGGGCGGGGGACACCCTGGACGGGTCGCAAGTCCATCACAGGGACACATAGAGACAAACGAGACAAACAACCATTCACTCTCTCACTCACACCTAGGGACAATTTAGAGTTACCAATCAGCCTAACATGTATGTTTTTAGTCTGTGCGAGGAAACCGGAGTACCCGGAGAAAACCCACGCATGCACGGAGAGAACATGCAAACTCCACCCAGAAGGCCCCTGGACCGGGGTTTGAACCAAGGACCTGCTCGCTGAGAGGCAGCAGCTATACCAGTTGCGCCACCGTGCTGCCCAACAATAAGTATTTGTAAACCTATTTTTTTTAGGTTATAATATTAGTTGTATACTTATAATATAGTGATAAAGTACAATATTATATTACATGGTACAATTATTAATGATTTATAAAGTGTTTATAGAGGAATTAATAATGTATCTATAAACAATTTATTAGCCATCTATAAGAGGAGCCTTATTGCTGGTGCCATTATTACTGCTTGTCACCAGAAAGTGCTGCTGTCAAAATATAGGACAGAAGAGACTGTGATGGTAGACAATAAAAAAATATGGAAGATAATTCAATTCAATTCAAAAATACTTTATTAATCCCAAAGGGAAATTATTTTGTTGTTGTAACTCATTATCCTCATCTCATTAAGAGATGTTATAGATACTGATGGCTTCAGGCAGGAAGGATCCCCTGCAAAGGTCCATCCCACAGTGGATCCCAAGAAACCGGCTACAGACGCCGTCCGATCCGTTCACCCAGACTCAGCCAAGTAGGTATCTCTGCAGGCAAATTCGGAAGGCGTATCTGGGCGATCATATCTGATTGGACTGTAGGAAAGTGGGCGTATCTGGGTCGTCACATCTGATTGGACTATATGAAAACGGGCGTGTCTGGTCGACCACATCTGATTGGACGGTAGAAAAATGGGCATGTCTGGCCGGCCACATTTGATTGGACGATAAAAAAAATAGGCGTGTCTGGCTGGCCACATCTGATTGGATGATAGAAAAAAAGGCTGAACGATGAAATGCCATAATCACAGACACATGATGTCTAAAAACAAGGCGTCATTGGCAGATTGTGTTAACCACAGGCATATTATGTCTATGGTGTTAACCGGTTCGACATTAGCGGCGTCTCAGGTTCAACACTGGCGGCGTCTCGGTTCAACATTGCTCCAGTATACTGCCGCGGCGTCTCCATAACTTCTTTTTCCACCTCTCTTAACACAGAACTTTCGGTTACATTTCAAAATAAGAGCAACATAACTGGGTAGTGAGGAGAACTAAATGTTAGGGTTTTTTAATCCCTGGCCATAACATTAAAAAACAAATTCCATTTTGGTTGTTGAAAAATGTGAAAAAAGTTACAATCGATTCATAAAGAAAGAAAAATATAAATGATACTTAAACTGGCCTTGGGACAAAGGATGTTTCCTTTAACTTCACATTTTCTTATCCTGATGCATGCTCAATAATCCAGGTAGAAAAATCTAAAAAAAGTTAAATCTGGTCCTCTGGACATTCAAAAAAACAAAACAATGCAAAACAACAAAAAAATGTAGAAACGTTTCGTCTCTCATCCGAGAGACTTCCTCAGTCTGAGGTGCTGTATTCAGCTCAGTCTCTTAAATAGCACCTTCTCAGAGTGGATCAACTAGTTTTGCTGCTGACAACCAAAACCAGCTGATCACATGCTCAAGAAGGACAATCAGCCAAACAATGGATCATTAGCACACTGATGGCTGTTTACTGTTCACAGAGGGCTGAGTGATACTAGCAATCACAGCATTGTAAGAGGGGGACAATTGAACACGTAGGCCTCCACCCCTGTTTAACGATGGACGATTTCTTTTCACAAAAATGGCCTCCTTTACTCCTCTCTCAAACCATCGTTCCTCTCTATCCAGGATGTGCACATCTTCATCCCTGAAAGAGTGACTGCTGGCCTGGAGATGAGTGTAGACCGCAGAGTCCTGGCCTGATGATGTTGATCTTCTCACCACATACAGAACACCATGGACTTTGTGGATAAGGTGAGGGATGTCATCATGGAGACTGATGAAACAATCCATCAGGGTGCTAATGATTCATTGTTAGGCTGATGGTCCTTCTTGAGCATGTGATCAGCTGGTTTTGGTTGTCAGCAGCAAAACTGGTTGATCCACTCTGAGAAGGTGCTATTTAAGAGACTGAGCTGAATACAGCACCTCAGACTGAGGAAGTCTCTCGGATGAGATACGAAACGTTTCTACATTTTTTTGTTGTTTTGCTTTGTTTTGTTTTTTTGAATGTCCAAAGGAC